TACAACATTAAACTCATAGATATAGACAATGACTGCACATCAAACATTTTAACAGGTCCAACAACTCCCTTTACAACATTAAATTCATAGATATAGACAATGACTGCACATCAAACATTTTAACAGGTCCAACAACTGCCTTTACATTAAACTCATAGATATAGACAATAACTGCACGTCAAAAACTTTAACAGGTCCGACCACTCACTTTATGACATTGAACTCATAGAAACTAACTGGACATCAAAAAACTATGTAATACACACAAGTTCAGGTAGTTAATTTAAACTATATCCCATGTAATAGACAAATGTTTAGGTAGTTGTTAGTCTAAACTATACCCCATGTAATAGACACATGTTCTGGTAGTTGTTAGTTTAAACTATATCCCATGTAATAGACACATGTTCTGGTATTTGTTAATTTAAACTATACCCCATGTAATAGACACATGTTCTGGTAGTTGTTAGTTTAAACTATATCCCATGTAATAGACAAATGTTCTGGTATTTGTTAATTTAAACTATACCCCATGTAATAGACACATGTTCTGGTAGTTGTTAGTTTAAACTATATCCCATGTAATAGACAAATGTTCTGGTATTTGTTAATTTAAACTATATCCCATGTAATAGACACATGTTCTGGTAGTTGTTAGTTTAAACTATATCCTATGTAATAGACACATGTTTAGGTAGTTGATAGTTTAAACTATATCACATGTAATGGACAAATGTTCTGGTAGTTGTTAATTTAAACTATATCCTATGTAATAGACACATGTTTAGGTAGTTAATTTAAACTATATCCCATGTAATAGACAAATGTTCTGGTATTTGTTAGTTTAAACTTTATCCCATGCAATAGACACATGTTCTGGTAGTTGTTAGTTTAAACTATATCCTATGTAATAGACACATGTTTAGGTAGTTGTTAGTTTAAACTATATCCTATGTAATAGACACATGTTTAGGTAGTTAGTTTAAACTATATCCCATGTAATAGACAAATGTTCTGGTATTTGTTAGTTTAAACTTTATCCCATGCAATAGACACATGTTCTG